CACGATAAGTTTCTGACTTGAAACTTACACAAAATCATCTCAGCATTCTTATGCCGTAAGGCAAAGTTATTCATATAAGTGTACAAATGATTTGATTAGTATATATGGAATGAATGCTTTGATTTGCATCTATATTGTTCTTTGCCTTAAAATATACTTTTCTATAGGAAAGTACATGAAAACCAAACGTACATCAAACGGATTATTCCCTTCTCATGCTTAGTACCCATATGGACATACCCTTATAATATAAGACTATTATCCCTTATGGATTGACATTCATTGTATCCTCTCCCATGGTATGAGGAGAAATACATTATGCTTTAATTTATCTTGATTCATCTTTTCAAATACTCCTATCCACAAACTTGAATTTGTTTTTCGACTGTTCGTTTTTCTTATAGAAGCAACAAAAATGGATGATTTTCATCCCTAAAAGCAATGTAACAGATCATATTAAAAGCAAAAATAAACTGCATTCTTCCTTTTGTGTCAATCAAAGTGCATGTTATAAAAAGCACAAAAAACACTCCCTAATGCAAGCACAAAAAACACTCCCTAGTGCAAACACAAAAGTCAATATCGATCAAAGAGAAGAGGAGGAGAGGTACAATGGTTTTTGATTCAGCTTCTAAAAAGTTGTTTTTCTTCTTCTTCTTCACAATGTCCACATTGCAATGCCTAAATCAAGTTCAAGCAAAAACCTATTTCAGTGTCCTTCAGTTTGGTGCTTGTGCTGATGGAAAAACAGACAACAATAAGGTAAATTAATAAAACCAAATTAACCCCTTTATATAGTTTCAACTTGAGATGCTAAATCAGTTAAGTTCTTGTTGTTCTTTAATATATAACTATATGAATTATTTATGATTTTTTCCCCTTTTTCGAGTTTAGGCATTTATGGCAGCATGGAATCAGGCTTGCAATTCATTGGGAGAAAATGGTGTTTTGATCCCAACAGGGGTATTTCTGTTGCGTCCAGTGGTGTTTAGGGGTCCCTGTAAGAGCCCTGTTGCGTTTCAGATCAGAGGAGTCCTCAAGGCTCCCACTGATAAAGCTTCACTTGACCATTAGATCAGCTTCCAATATATTGATCAACTGATGATCAACGGTGGCGGATCACTTGATGGTGAAGGAGCCTCAGCCTGGCCCCTAAACAATTGCAGTAAAGACCCAAATTGTCCTCCTCTTCCTGTTGTAAGTTCCAAAAAATAGTTACCAAATAATAACAGGAGATGATCATCCAGTTTTCTAAATCCCAAAAATACTAATGTTTGCATTTTTACAGTCAATGAGACTCGATTTCGTCACAAATTCAAGAATCAGCTCCATAACATCAATCAACAGCAAGAACTTCCACTTCAACATTTTTGCATGCAAGAACATCACAATTTCCCGCATTAGGATTTCAGCTCCAGAGGACAGCCCCAACACTGATGGAAAACACCTTGGCTCCTCTACTGACATCCGTATCTTGGATTCCGTCTTCGGCACCGGTGACAACTGCATTTCTATGGGACCAGGATCCAAGAACATCAACATTAACAATGTTCATTGCGGCCCTGGCCATGGCATCAGTATCGGTAGCCTCGGGGGATCACAGATGGACGCGGATGTTACTGGGATTATTGTGAGGAACTGTAGCTTAGTAGGGACATCCAATGGCATAAGGATCAAAACATGGGCTCCTTCTTATCCACTCCTTGTGTCAAATCTTACATTTGAGCAAATTAAGCTAAGGAATGTCTCCAATCCCATTTTCATTGATCAGCAATACTGCCCTTCCAGGACATGTGATCAAAAGGTAATTTTTTTCTTTCCTCAAATTCAACACTAAATATGTCATGATTCTAACTCAGCATGTGTTCGTTTTTTCGTTTTTATTAGAGTTCCTCGAGTGTGAAGATTAAAGATGTTAAGTTTACACAAATGTGGGGCACCACCAAGTCCCAGGTTGCAATAAATCTCCAATGCAGCAAAAGCACTCCATGTGAGAGGATTGACCTCAATGACATAAACATGGGCTACATTGGACAAGGTAAAGGTCCCAAAGGACCTATAAGTATAACCTCTTCATGTGCCAATGTCCATGGTGTTGCTTCTGGCAAACAACATCCTTCCTCGTGCTTATAGATGTCGGATTCATGATTGAGAATAAACGGAGAGCCTGAAGGATCCCATGTCAAATCAGTTTTAGATGGGGGTCAATGGGACATGGCCTCATCAGCCCCTTCTAACTTCACTCTTGATTTTGGTCCACCATGCAGATATTGGTAGAGATTTATGAAATTTTTCATACCTTCCAACCAACAAAAGAGAGTCCAATCCAAGTCAAATTCAATAAATCATGTATATGTTAGGTGGCAGGGCAAGTGCCTCCCCTACTGGACTTAATGTCCTCCTACTCAGCTCCTCGTTTTACTTCACAAGGACATGTACGGTAGAGTTTCTTGCTTTCTTTTGTGTGGCTCTTTGAATGGTTCTGTTGTACATCATAATTTGTATGTTTCCCTTTAGTAATGATATGATACCATGTTGCTTACTTTTTTAAAAACAAAATATGTGAATTTTTGTGTTTTGTAAAATAAATTGTTATTTATAAAAATTATTTTTTTTTACAACTTAAGTTACATAAAACTACAAATTAAAAATTATTTAAAGATAACAACCCTTAATAAAGACTGCACATTACATTTTTTATTTATAAATACCAGAAATGTAAGAAGTACTTCATTTTTTTTTTAAAGCAAAGAAATTGAAAAAAATAAAAAATATAATTTGTAAAACTTGAAATCATAACTCACAAAAAAAAGGGTACCTATTAAACCAAAAGACTTGCCTATTAAGCCAAAACGAGGGGATCATAAAAGGTACTTAATGAGTTAAAGGAATAAAAGTTTAGGAGAAATACATTGGCAAAAGGATGGGAGCATCTTTGACAGATGATATTATTTAATCTAAAAAATGATGAAACGTATTGATGCATGAAGCAGCTGTTTTGGGTTTGAAAATTCTGCCAAAACAAATCATTCCTTGTGTCATGCTCTCGTACAAATGATGTCACTAAGTTCAGAAGTTGACCAAAGATGAGAGACCCACCTTAAAATACCTAGCCTCAAATGTTTTGAAATTCTGATGTCATTGCATCCACCAAAAAGGTGACACTCCCCCATAATGAATTGTTTGGGGTTTGCCTGCATGTGATCTGAATCTGATAAGTGATTTCTGTTTTTAATTACAAATTGAAAGTTTGATTCCTAGTCTTTTAAGTACAAAAAAAGAAATGTTAAGCATTTGATTTCCAACGTTAATGATGATTAAGTAATGGCTTTTTAAAGGACAAAGGGACAATGTCATATGATGAGCTTTGAACTATAATTTAAGTCATGTGTTTCTTTATTTATATTTATATTTTTTATTTTAAATTATATAATTTTAAATTACACTCACAACACTTGTTGCATTGAATAAAGTGCATATATATTAAAAAGAAGACATTGGTTCTAATCTTTATAAACCTTCCTTCTCTCATGTTCTTTCATGTTTAAAAAAAAATTATATAATTTGAAATTATATCATAAAAGATAATAAAAAAATTTTAAATTTAAATATAACATGAATTGAAATGGTATGAATGAGATTGTAAAACATGTGCATTGTGTTCTTCTAGAAGCCCTCTATACCCCATTACTAGTTAATTCTAGCTATCTAATTGAATCAAATCACATAGAAAAAAAGAGTTTGGATTGGATCATAATTCATAGGTATTTCATAATAATTGGACAAAAAACGAGAAAATAGATGGAGACTGCAGAGTAAACAACAAACCCATATGCAAGGGCAAAGAGAAAATATCTTTGATAAACCTCAAAAACAGTTAAATTTTCTTTGTCAAGATCATACATGTTTTTCCGCCCATCAATTTTCCAATATTCAACAACTTTATCAAAGTTTACAAGAATGAACTACTTGACAACAAAACTTCTTGGAAAATTACCGATTTTTTAATCATTCAATTAACCAAAGTTTTTCGGATTTCTTGTTTTCGTTTTTGGCGTATCTACTAATTTTGAATATTTGTTTCATAAAATGAAATTAAAATTTGAAACTTGTGAAAATCTTAGTATAAAGGTTAAATCCCTAATTTAGTCCTCAACTATTGTATAGAGCT